AATATATATATATACATACATACATATATATATGTATATATATATGAAAATTGTGTATATCTCAAAAGAAATATTCTATCCATACTAATATTTAAATTACCTTAATAAAACTTTTTATAGAAAAAAAATTAAAACAGATACCATAATATTTTATTAGTCAAATTATAAAAATTTAGTCAACTTTAGGTGACATCTTGACCAAACTACAGAAATAGTACCTAAGAAAAACATGACAGACAGAAGAAAAACATTACAGATAGCACTCCTTTTCAAAATATTCTGTCTCGAGAGGAAACCAAGATGGCAGCATAGGTAAACACCGGAAATTGCTGCCTCCCACAACAAATTCAAAAATACAACTAAAAGACAAAACAGACATCATCCAGAACTACAGGAAGGCTGGCTGAGTGGAAATTCTACAACTAGAAGGAAAGAGAAAAGCACACTGAGACTCAGGAGCTGCGGAGGTGGAGTGCAGAGGTACGAAGGCGCACACGGCAAGGGCTGGCAACTGAGGACGCAGCTGTCTTTTTGAATCGGGAGGGAGCCACAAGCCCCCGACTGCAACTCCAGTTCCGGGTGAGTCTCTGGGGACCTAGACTCATACGGGGAGAAACTGTACTGTCTGGCAGCAGGCAGAACTCGGAACTCGAGGGCAGCTTTCTCTCAAAGGTACTTGCAGCAATTACCGAGACACTGAGATGAGGGGCCCCTTAGGGCAGGGCTGAGGATCAGCCATAGCTGCTTGCTCGGCCCTGTAGATGCCCTGAGACCCTGCCCCACCCAAGTTGCGCAGAGGCTTTTGCATATGAATGCCCTGGCCCTTTGCAATCTGAAAATTACCTAACAAACTGCAGCTGGGCCAGACAGACCCAGAACTTCCAAGAGAAGGCCCAAGGCCCCACAGCAGCTTGCATTGCTTCACAGCTGGGCCTCATCTGGGCACCTCCAAACCCCAAACAAGGAAGGGGAATCTGCAGATCTCTTCGTAGCTCCTGCTGGGTAGCCTCAGGCAGAGGCTAAATTAGCACCTCCTTAGAGATCCAAGAGCCAGTGTACCCAGTGGGCAGAGTGGGACCATCCAGATTACAACTCCTCAGATCCATAAGGGACACACTCAGGGGGCAGACTCAGTGAGCACCAAAGCCCCACTGAAGCAAGTCTTGCCCCAGAAGGGTGTCTCCAGCACAGAAGTTCTCCCACTGCAGACACAGCTGATTCTCACTGCCAATTGGCCTGGAGGTCAATTCCTCCCAGTGACACCTAAAACAATCAAGGCATAACTACAACAAGACTGTGCACAAAGACCACAAGGGGGTGCACCAAGAGTGTCCACCTCAGGTAACTGGGGAGGCTGAGCCACTGGGCCCTGTAGGACACCTAGCACACAAAACCACTCTACCAACACAGGGAAGCAGACAAAATGCGAAGACAAAGAAACAGGTCACAAATGACAGAAATGGAGGACAGCAAACGACTGGATATAGAGTTCAAAACCACGGTTCTAAGATTTTTCAAGAATTTTATGGAAACCGCCGATAAATGTATTGAGATCCTTAAGAAATCTAGTGAGACCCTCGATGTTGTGATAAAGGACCAACTAGAAATTAAGCATACACGGACTGAAATAAAGAATATTATACAGACTCCCAACAGCAGACCAGAGGATCGCAAGAATCAAGTCAAAGATTTGAAATACGAAGAAGCAAAAAACACCCAACCGGAAAAGCAAAATGAAAAAAGAATCCAAAAATACGAAGATAGTGTAAGGAGCCTCTGGGACAACTTCAAGCGTACCAACATCAGAATTATAGGGGTACCAGAAGAAGAGAGAGGGCAAGATATTGAAAACCTATTTGAAGAAATAATGACAGAAAACTTCCCCTACCTGGTGAAAGAAATAGACTTCCAAGTCCAGGAAGCGCAGAGAACCCCAAACAAAAGGAATCCAAAGAGGACCACACCAAGACACATCATAATTAAAATGCCAAGAGCAAAAGACAAAGAGAGAATCTTAAAAGCAGCAAGAGAAAAAAAGTCAGTTACCTATAAGGGAGTACCCATACGACTGTCAGCTGATTTCTCAACAGAAACCATGCAGGCCAGAAGAGAGTGGCAAGAAATATTCAAAGTGATGAATAGCAAGAACCTACAACCAAGATTACTTTATCCAGCAAAGCTATCATTCAGAATTGAAGGTCAGATAAAGAGCTTCACAGATAAGAAAAAGCTAAAGGAGTTCATCACCACCAAACCAGCATTATATGAAATGCTGAATAATAATCTGAATAATAAAGATTTAATTAAAAAAAAATTCCGTCTCTTTGCAGATACAAATTTCTAATTCCTTTATCCATATATTACTGTCTGCACTAAAATAAAATAGCATCAGGAAAGGGTTTAAAGAGGCAGCAGAAGGAAGACTTGAGAGGATTCAGGTAACTGGGATTAACAAAAATCCTAGACTAATATGTAATTAGTTTATAAACATGCCCCCTCTTTCTATCCCTCAAGATGCCTTTTGTTACTTTATCTTTCTAGGCTCTCCTTGATGTCGAAGAGAGAAAGGGCTAGGGTAAAACATCGAAAAGATAAAAGAAGTCATTCCAAATCCTCTCAATTAGTCTTTGCAGGTATTTTTGAAGACTGTGGTACAGCAGGGACTAATTTGGGGAAGATTCGTCTGTGAAATGCTCTTATATGGCATAGTTTGCTATAGGAAATCTCTCTCAAAGCCATAAAAGTATGCTTACCTTACCCTCTGATTCTGGAATTGATTTTCTGTTGTTGTTGTTAATCCTCACGCAAGAGTATTTTCCATTAATTTTTAGAGAGAGTGGAAGGGAAGGGACAGGGAGAGACACAGAGAAACATCGATGTGGGAGACACATCAATTGGTTGCCTCTTGCACTCACCCCAACCAGAAGCAGGGATCAAGCCTGCAACCAAGGTATGTGTCCTTGACTGTAATTGGACCCTTCAGTCCACAGGCTGATGCTTTACCCACTGAGCCAAACCAGCTAGGGCCAAATTGATATTTTAAGTTAACTGTAATCTATATAAAAATGTATATAAGGATGTTTATAATGAGGTTATTTGTTCCGATAAAGTTATGATACACTTCACAAATGTCAACAGTGCTTCCATTTTTTATGAAAAAAATATTTCTAAGGTGTCTATGAATTGAAAAGAATTGGAAAAACAGACATTGAAATGTTACTAATTGCCTCACGGTAGCAGAATCATGGGAGAGTTCTTTGTAGTTTTCTAACTTTTCTGCACTGAAATGAATTACTCCTATAATGAAAATGAGGGAAATGTCCTCACAATAAGAAGAAACAAGGCAGCTTACATTCAGCTTTTTTTTTTGGTTTGTTTTTAAGATATCTTAGCCACCTTTATTCACCCTCAAAGCCTAAATTCTAAAGACATAAGCAAAATTATTTTTTATGGCTAAGGAACTAATTTCATATGAATCAATATAGTATATGTATAACCCTGTAGACACATAAAATACATGATATCTATATACACTTTACACCCTATGGTTCTTATGAATACTGTATGAAAACATTTCTGCCTGCTTTTTAAGGTATTTTAAGGATTCTGTGATACAGCAAAAAGTGCTCTTTGTTCTCCTGTAGCAACCTATGTTCACCATTATCACATTACGTTTCATACTCTATTATGATTTTAAATTTGCTGGTCTTTTTCTTCTGACAAACTGTGACTCCAACATTTATATCAGCACAGTGCCTAGAACACAGCTGACACGTTAATTATTGGATACACTGATGAATGGAAGGAGGGATGAAGACTTATGCACATATGCACACACAGATGGATGCATGGACAAATAAACAGAGATAGATGGACAACAGAATGGATAGTCACATGGACAGGCAGATGTATGGACAGAGAAATTAATGTGCCAATGCAGACTTTCAGTCATAAAAGCCTGGTCCTAACACTCATAATTATGTAACAGGTCATTCTACCTTTCTAAGTTTCTTATTCATATGCTAGTGACCTGGTGGACAGATTCATGCACATTGAAAGGAAATTAATTAGAAGGTGGCTGGCGGGGCAGGACTGGGCAAGATGGGCCAGACACGCCCTGGAGCCAACCTCCTGCAGTCCCTCCCCGGCATCTGCGGAATGATCGGGGTCCCTCCAGCAGGTGGGGTCCCTCAGCCTGGCCTGTGGGTATCGGGCAGAAACCAGCTCTCTGACATCCCCCGAGGGGTCCCGGAGTGCGAGAGAGCACTCTGCAAAGTTGCTGTCGCACAGGGTGTGAAACACAAATGCAAGTGTGTAGTAAACTAGATTCAGGGCCGACAGTGCCCCAGCAACAATATAACCCATGGCCAAAGGTGGAATCGCACGGCCCCGCAAGGAATCAGGCTCCCTCCTCTCTGGTTTTGGGCTGCATCAGGTAAGAACCGTCGCTGCCAAGTCACTGCAGCTCAGCAGTTCCTGCGTTGAGCATCTGCCCCCTGGTGGTCATTACGTGTCATAGCGATTGGTCGAAGCGGCAGAGGGACCCTTAGCATAGTAGCCTTTTATATATATAGATAAAATAAAAGGGATTAAACTAGCTGACATTAGATAGGTTCCTTTTAGCTGCCAAATTAGATAAGACTTAACCATGACTTTTTCATTTTCAGCAATTAGAGAGGCTTGCTAATGGATATATTTGTTTTTAATAACTCTTTGAATTATATTTAAGATTGAACTGTTGCCAAATCTTTGACCAGGGATACATCCCTGATCTTATATAAAAACATTATTCACATTAAAATGAGGGTTTACATGCTTTTTAGAATTGCAATACTGTGAGGCTTGGACTCAGAGTGCCAAACACCAACCTCCTGAGAGCATACTTTAAGTCTTTTTTCTTCAATGTACGTATGACATAGTAGCATTCCAATCTACTGGTGACATTATATCTTTAAACAGGAAAAAACATAGTCTTTTGGGATATAAATATACCCACTTACCTTTTACTTTTTTATCAAACTTCTTCTGTTTCATTTTCTCTCGGTTTTTCTGTCGAACTTCCTTTGCTTCTTCTAATGCTTCCTGACTACCCCAAACTTCAAGAGCCCTCTTCACAATCTATAATACAGAATTCATATTTAAATTAGTTGTGATTCAGAGTTGTAAATTATAGTTATAATTATTAAATCCACGGGCACCAAAGAATGATCTAACTCAAGTACAATTTTATAAATATTTATTTAAATTTTAAATATTGATAAGAAACAACTCTATTAATACCTCTATCTAAACCTATGAGACCCTCAGGAAATGTATGCTAACCTCAATTATAAATAGGAAAGTTATCCTCTGACTGTAACTGCTTCTCTGACTCATTCAGCTTTTTCACTTGAATCAACATAAGGACATATAAATCAGGGGTCTGATGAGTTTTGATAAACTCACCCCCCAAAATTTACTTATTTACTTATCAATTAGTCACATCAGATCTAAGTAGGAGGTAACCTCCAAAAATCTCCCACCACAAGAAATCAGTCACTACCACTCTTCTCCTGAATCAATAATAGTTTCCATCTACTTGACTAACTTCTGATCTTTAGAATATGCATTTTTTTAAATCTTTGGTAGCTGAGTGACCTAAAAAGTCTTTATTCTACTTTTAATACTTTAGATTATGTACCTTTACTCTTTATAAAATTTATTCATACTTAGGAGAAAAATATATACACTTAGAATTATGCTCAGAATATCTCTTACAATATGTTAAGGGGACCAAAATATCAATCAATGTAGCCAAACTCAAATCTCTTCTTAACATAAAAAGTGATATACTCTTATTTCAAACATTCTAAAACATCACATTTTCCACAATTAACCCTCTAAAAATGTTGCATCACCATGTGCTTAACAGTACTTTAACAATTCTGAGTCAAAAGTGGTTCAGGCCCGGCCGGCGTGGCTTAGCGGTTGAGCTTGGACCTATGAACCAAGAGGTGAGGGTTCGATTCCCTGTCAGGGCACATGCCTGGGTTGCCGGCTCAATCCCCACCCAGTAGGGGCCGTGCAGGAGGCAGCCAATCGATGATTCTCTCATCATTGATATTTCTATCTCTCCCTCTCCCTTCCTCTCTCTGATATCAATAAAAACATATATTTTTTAAAAAGTGGTTCAGAACAATTGGACACTCAATGTAAAGAAATTTAGGATACCTTAATAAAGCTGTTGTACTTGCATTTTCCTTTTTATGTACACACAAGCATGATATATAGCAAAAATGTATAATAAGTGTAATGGCACTATTTCAGTAAGTATAAAATAAAAACACCAAGGATAAGGAAGTACTCAGTCAGTTTAATGAGCACTTTTTCATTTCTGATAGTACATAAAATAGTAAATCTTCTAATCGATAGTTGTCTTATGTTCAATGAAATTCAGTGTGTGTTTGGTTTTACATGTGGCTTAATTTTATTTAAAGATATTAGGACTTTCTAGTATATTTTAATTCAAATTGTTCTGAATTAATGCCTCAAAAAGAATACGACAGTATTTGTACCATTCTGGGGTACATACAGGAGGCTGCCTGTGACTTAAGGCACCCAGCCTGGGCACTATTGCAGTCCCAGGAACTAAGACTATTCAATGTCTTGGCACACCTGTAACACAATGGCAGCAAGAGGGGTTGAGAAAATCCGCTCTGGAATATACTAGAGTTCCTTGGACACCTGAAAGGGTTTCAGATGAGTATTTCCCAATATATTTCAGGCATCTGTGAACTCCCTGAATTTTTAAAAAAAGACTTTCGGGCCAGAGGGTGGCAGGAATACAGGATCTGCCTCTCACTCCAAGCTTTTTTAGTTTCCCAACTGTACTCCTAACATTACTCAATGATAATACATTTGCTCCAAAGTGCTGCACCAAAAAGCAAAATAAGAAAACATGCTATTGTCATTATGAGTAACTGTGATTCACATGCAAAGCAACAAAATGCAAAGGATCTTCTTAATTCTAAAAGCAAAAACTAAACTAATTAGAACTAGTTGCTTGTTAAAACTTCACCTGTCCCAGGGAATAAAACGACTGAATAGAACTCATTAGATACCTGTAATTTTAAGTAGAGTTTCATATCACCCCATTGTGAATGACGAGGATTCTTCTTCACAATAAATTTAAGAGGTGGTTCTCTTTTTTCTAAATCACAGTCTTTCAGAAGGTATTCTTGTTTTGCTTCTGTTTTAGTTATAAGTTTGTGTTTATCATCAGCATCTCTGAAAACAAATTAAGTCCATTATATAAGTTAGCTATTAAAATAAACTAAATTTTCAAAGAGCCCAACAACCTAGGGGTATGCATACCAAAAGGAACATATAAAATACTTTTCCCTGCAGCTCTCATAGTCAAATGGGCAGCACAAAAATTCTAACAGAAAAAATGCTTTATCCTTTACATATTCTGAGAAGCTATATTAGCAACAAATCCATATTATTGAAAATGTTAAGAATTTCTTTTCTACTTAAAGTCCCTCTTTTCCACAGATTTTTAAATAACTCATTAGAGTACAGCAAATATAAATGAGAACTAAGACTCAATAAGTAAGAAAGTATAAATTAAAGCATAAAGTCAGGATGGACAGGCGATAAGGAAAATAAATATGCAAGGTCCATCTGCCCCAACACAATCAAGTGTCCAGTTGGCTCTGAGCTTTTCAAAGTCAAGGCAAAAGTGGAGACAGTCAATTACATAGTTCCTCTCATTCATTTGTTCCCTATCTACCTGCCAGGTATTGTCTGAGGCATGAGGAATACAGCAAAGAATAAAACAAAGCCTTGTTTTCATGAAGTTTACATCCCAGTGAAGGAAAAGACAGTCAATAAGCAAACACAGTGACAGATAAAAGTGCTATGAAGGAATATAAGAAGGTAGAGAAAGGACTTTCAGGTAGAGTGGGTATTCAGAGAAAGTCACTGATAAGGGGACTCTTTGAGTAGAGCCCTTAACAAGGCAGAACATTCTGAGTAGCCAGAGAAAGAACATTTCTGGCAGAGAGAAGAGCAAATGCAAAGGCTCCAACACAAGAGTTTGCTTGGCAACTGGAGCTCACAGCAAGAGGGCCACTGTGGCTAGAAAGCTTAAAGTGCATGATGGTGAGCAGTGATGAGAGACAAGGTCAGAGATAGGCAGTGACCTTCTAAGCAATGATGAAGACAATTTTATTCCAAATGGATAAGGAACCATTAAAGAGTTTTGAGCCCTGGCCAGTTTTGCTCAGTAATTAGAGTGTAGGCCTCCCGACCAAAGGGTTGGGGGTACGATTCCTGGTCAAGGGCATGTACCTGGGCTGCAGGTTCCATCCCCGGCCCTGGTCAGGAAGCGTGTGGGAGGCAACCAATTGATTTTTTTTTTTCTCTCTCTCTCTCCCATTCCCCCCTCCACTCTCTCTTAAAAAAAAAAAAATCAACGGAAAGAAATATCCTCAGATGAGGATTAATAAAACAAAGAGTTTTGAGTAAAAGGCTATATGGAGAAGAGACTAACAATGCAAAAGTGGGGAGAAGAGACCAGTTAAAAGATCACTACTGCAGTGGTCCGGGCAAAAGCTGATGGGGGCCTAGTCTAAGGTAATAGTGGGAAAAAGGATGGGAATATAATTTGAACATGGAGCCAAATACATTTGGAATTAAACACGGGATAGCAGAGAACTAGCCAACGAAAGAAGTTGGCCTTTACTGAAGTAATGAACACTGAAGGGGAGGTACAGGTCAGGGAGGGAGACTTAAAACTGGAAATACCTTTAAGAAAGCTAAGTAATTTGTAAGTCTCAACTGAAGGAGGAGACAGGTAAACTACACTGTACTGAATTGTAATCCTGAAAGATGTTGAAAGGAAACAAAATGGAGGACTGTGTTCCTAATTATGTGTAAATTTTACAAATATATTTTTACCACTAATTTTCTTTAAATTGATACATCAGTTGCTTTCATTTTCTCATGGAAATAGATTATAAGTGCGAATTCAGTTTCCAAAAGCTGTTGATACTTCAAGGAGAGTAGCAATAACGTGGACCTTAACCACTGTGGGCATTAATGACACTGTGTGTCAATGGGAACAGATTTTATCATGTATATTCCAATGGGTGCCAGGACATATCCAGTCACCGATGTGATCACGAAACCAGAAACAACTCCATTCTCTCCGTCTTCCAAGGATTCTACCTACAAAAGTCAATGGTGACGGCTCCCAATATCTGTAGCAGGGATGCTGAAAAGGCAGGTCCTCCCAGCAGGTCAGGAGTTAATCTAGGGCTACAGGTAAAAGAATTAGGAGTAGGAAACAGATAAGAGAGCTAAGTAAGATTCCAAGATAGGATCTTAGGTGTGAAAGAAACCAACACAGGACTTGGCTGAGGTAAACAGCAGGGAGCAGAACCATTTGGAAAGAAGAATTATTCTGGGGTGATATAAAAAGAGGATAAAGGCCAGAAGAAGAAAAAGAATGACAGAAAAATGTGATTTTTCCTCATCTCTTTTCTTCCCTGACTGTTCAGAAGAGTAAAAAATGAATGGAAAGAACTAGGAGAGTGACTGGGCAGCTTTTAGTCTCCTCCTCTCATTAGCAGCCCCAGTTCTCAGACCAAGGCATCAACATACACTGAGACAAGTAAGAAATGGAGATCCTTAGAGAAGGGTTAGGAACCTGCTACTGAGAGATGGCCAGCAGAAAGAAAAAAAAAACTATGGCAGAACCTGGGGCATTCCAATTTATGTGACATATTAATTTTGATAAGCACAGGCTTCCTGTATTTCTTTGGCAAAATGGAAACCATAGAAATGTTAGGGAACTACCCAAATAAAAATCATTATTACTAAATAAAATATTAAATTCAAATGAACTATTTTACCCTATGCCTGTATGTTAACATTCAACTTTAGCAATTGAGAACATTGTCTGAAATAAAGTAATTACCTGCAGTTATCACAAGTTGGCAAATCAAAGTGATTCATAAGATAAGAATCCATAAATTCTCTACTACATTCTTCACATATTGCATAATCAAATTCCATAACAGGTCCTAAAGAAAAGAAGATCAATTCTTTAAGTTTTCTTTTTTGTGACTTGAATACATTTTCCTCTATTTTATTAGCTTGTAGACATGTATTTTATGCCTGACACCATTTACATAAAAGACAAAATAAAATTTAAGTAATCTTATACTTACTAAAAAAATGTTTGATAGAAGAAAAAGGAAATAACATCAGGGGGAAAATCCCTATCAATTCATCAAGTATTTTTGAAGCCAAACCATGTGTAAGATAATTATTTAACATCAATTTGCAAAGAATTATGCACATTACCCAAAATTACCAACCTAGCCCGGCTGGTGTGGCTCAGTGGTTGAGTGTCCACTTATGAATTCAAGAGGTCAAGGTTCGATTCCTGGTCAGGGCACCTGTCCAAGTTGTGGGCTTGATCCCCACTGCAAGAGGCAGCCGATCAATGATTCTCTCTCATCTTTAATGTTTCTATCTCTCTCTCCCTTCCCCTCTGAAATCAATAAAAATATATACTAGTATTTTTTAAATGACCCACTGAGATTCCTATTTTCTGAAAACACATTTTACCTGGTTCATGAACAACTTTTCCAACTGTATGTTCTTCTTCTCCTTCCTCTTCCAGAATGAAGCCTCCATGTGTATCAATTATCTTTGGGGCAGCTTTTATGTTAGCCATGCCTATTAAAAAAAAAAAAGTAAAAGTGGTCAACAATGAGCTAGGTAAGCCCATATGCTCCCTTCTGCATAAACAGAAATTTTCCTTAAATTTAATATGTATCAAACAAGACAAGGAATGTCCACTATAACCACTTCTATCCAACATTAAAGGTTCCAGCTAGTGCAATATGACAAGAAAACAAAACACGCATAAAGGTTGGAAAGAAGTAAAACAGTCTTTATTCGCAGATGATCTGATTATATATGTAGAACATGCACAGGGATGTACAATTACAATTAAAAAATAACACCCAGGGCCCTGGCCAGTGGGGCTCAGTTGGTTGGAGCATCCTTCCATACTCTGAAAGATCACAGATTCGATTCCCAGTTTCGGCATATGCCTGGGTAAAAGGTTCAGTCCCCAGTTGGGGGGGGGGCGGGGGGGCGGAGGCCCATACAGGAGGCAACCGATCAATGTTTCTCTCACATCGATGTTTTTCTCTCTCCCCCCCCCACCCCTTGTTCTCATTAAAATCAATAAAGGCATATCCCTCAAGTGCAGATTTAAAAAATAAATAATAAACAAATAGCACCTTGAAAGAGATTTCTGGTCAAGATGGTTATGTAGATAAATGTGGTACTTGAATCCTCCCACAAACACATAAAAATTACAACTAAACTATAGGAAAACCATCATTCAGAATTGCCTAAAATTTAGCTGAATGGAAATCCTACAACTAGGGATTTAAAGAAGCAGCCATGTAACACTGATAGGAGGGGCAGAGACTCAGAAAGGGCTGGTCCCACACCCATGTGTGGCAGATGAAAATTATCTCAATTGTGGAAGTCCTCCCTTAGGAATGAGAGGTGCCAGACCCACACCAGGCCCCAAACCCAGGGTTATAGTGCCAGGAAGAGAAGTTCCCATAACTTATGGTTGTAAAAACCAGCAGGGATTGTGGCTGAACAAGATGAAGGGTTGCTGGAGTCCCAGGCAATTCTTCTCAAAGGGCCCATGCACAGACTTACTCGGACTCACTCTCCCTGAGCTTCAGTGCTGGGGCAGCAACTTGAAAGGAACCAGGGACATAGGAGGAGGAAATGAATTGTCTGGCATCAGGGCCAGAGCCGGGGTAAAGCTTTCTGCCAGACAAAAGTGCGCCCCAGCCGGTTTGGCTCAATGGATAGAGCATCGGCCTGCAGACTGAAGGGTCCCGGGTTCGATTCCTGTCAAGGGCACATACCTTGGTTGCAGGCTCAGCCCGGGCCCTGGTCAGGGCTCATGCAGTAGGTAACCAATCAATGTGTTTTTCTCATCGATGTTTCTCGCTGTCTGTCCCTCTCTCTTCCACTCTCCCTAAAAATCAATAGAAAAATAGCCTCACATGAGGATTAACAACAACAAAAAGTGCTAGCAGAGGCCATGGTTCCTTTTCTGAGACGCGCACCCCCACCTCCCAGGCCTGAGCCTTATCTGAGTCTCCATCAACCTGGCTCATACTGTCTGCCCAGCCCTTGTGATTCTGAGGCCTTGCCCCACACAACTTATGAGCCCACCCAAAATGTTTTCAGTGGCTTTTCCATCTGAATGGTTTGTTATGGCTCATGCTTTTTTGTTGTTGTTGTTAATCCTCACCTGAGGACATTTTTCCATTGATTTTTAGAGTGGAAGGGAGGGGAAGAGACAGAGAAACAGCGGATGTGGATGGACATATCGATTGGTTGCCTCCCATTTGCAGCCCAGGGCTGGGGATCAAACCAGCAACTGAGGCATGTGCCCTTGACCAGAATCAAACCTGGGACCTGTCAGTCCGCAGGCCACGCCCTATCCACTGAGCCAAACTGGCTAGGGCCTGGCTAGTGCTTTGGACTTCCCTAAAATCTCTTAAACAAGCAACATCTGGCCTCAGAATGCCTGGTACCTCTCACTGAGTGGCCCTAGGCCCAGCACTAGCAGCAGCCAGCCTTGGTTTGAATCCTGGACTTGCCTGAGCACCTCCAAGCCCAACACCAGGGCGAGAGATGCCCAGTGCAGCAGAGGCGGCTCGAGGGGCGGAGGGGACCCGATCCCAGTGTCAGATGCCCTGAGTTCTGGAGCTGAGTAGCCTGCGCACTTGCTGGGATGAACCCGAACCAACCCCTTTCCTTTTCTGGTCCTCAACGACCACTTCATTAAAACAGATTCCAAACTTTGCCCTAACCATTTTCCCGGTTAGCTCTGAGAATCACATTAGCTCATTTGAAACACGTGAAGCGCAACAGGTGCTCCTCGGTGAGCCCCACAAAGAGGGTCGCTAATGTCCGTAGGCTCCTTTTGGCGCCCTGCAAGCCCTCGGCTGGGTACGGAAAGTGCCCTCAGCCGCCCTTTGCGGACGAATGCGGGAGCAGGTGCAGGTTACTGACACGGTGAAGGTCTAAGAGTTTTACAAAGGACCGCCTCTGGTACCTGGGAGCTGCAGGAAGAGGACAGACAGGGGCAGCCGAGGCGCTGACCGCACTGGCGCGCCCACCTGCCGGCGAGTGCAGCGGCTTTCCCACGCTAAGGACCGCATATTAGCTAGCGATTGGTGTAGAATGGTGCAATACAAAAGGCAAGTTCAGCTATGCATCTGAATGATTGTGTAACAGGGATATCCAGGCAACAGTAAACTCTGTGTTGAACTAGCTTAAATAGTTGTATGTAGTACAGTTCCCCCACCATTCCCGTTGTTTCCCCATTGCAATAAACCTGGGGGGTTCTTTTCCCATGCAGGAGCCATAGAAAAGCTAGTATCCAGTAGCAAACAGTGGCCCATTGACTGTCCAGATCACAGTATTTCACATGACCCCGGATACAGGCGAAGAGTAGTGTCCTGCCAAACCCTAGTCTATGGGGAATAGGTCTTTGAGGTTGTTTAAAAGTGGCAGACTGTGAGAGAGAAGACTATTTCCTTTCTTAGAGCCTAATTTAGCTGGAAAACAAAGATAGACAGAATGTGAGTTTCCTGTAGCTTCGTGCGTGTGTAATTTTATTAGACGTAAACAAACTTGCTCTAAATGACTTATATTAGCCAACTGGTATGTTTACTTTCATGTAAAATGTGACCTTCAAGCTATATATAGAGCACATCATCCAATAAGAACACAAAATAGCGAGCTGCGGGTTTATAAACCGGGGGAAAGCGGTGCCGAGATCGTTTTCTTCGGGACTTGGTCATCTTTAAAGTAACAGTTTCGCTTGGTGGTTTAGAATATAGGCTTTGGAGTCAGACCTAGGTTAAGTCCTACTCTGACACCATCTGCATGATCTTGAACAAGTTATTTAACCTGAATTCAGTAGTAAAATGAGGATAACTACGGAACCCCTTCCCGGTTGTTGGGAAGATTAGATGTAGGCTTTCAAGACAATGCCTGGCACAGTAAGCTTCCAAAAATGATAGCAGCTGGTAGTAATAATGTGTCAATCAAGAGAGACCCAGAGATGATGGATCTGGCTTTCCTTTGGACAGAGCCTTAGGTTTGAGAGGAGAACACCTGCGTTCAAACGCTCACTTGCTGTGTGAGCTCAGGCAAATGCAGCGCCTGGTACCAAGGTTGGTATACGAGGTGTACCGGTTAATAATGCGGATTTTTTTTCAATAGATGGAGTTACACAGATGTTGATATATATGCGATTTGATATGTATGCTATTTTGTTGTATTGATCCTTCAGGTTACCACTTGTTCTGATCGGTGGGAAACGCACTTTCTGAGCAGCACTTCAAAACGTACGAAGAAGTGGAAAATTGGGTCTCTGAATGGTCTGCCTCAAAACAAGAAAAGTTCTGTTGGGATGGTAGCCACAAATTACCTGAAAGATGGGGGAAATGTGTAGCTAGCGATGGACATTACTTTGAATAAAGCACTTTTGATGTTTCTCTTGAAATTATTGTGCTTTCTTTGATTACAAAATCCGCATTATTATGGTTAATGTGGATTAATTATTAACCAGTTAATAATGTGGATTAATTATTAACCAATTAATATTGCGGATTATTTATTAACCGGTTAATAATACGGATTAGCTATCAACTGGTTAAAAATGCAGATTAATTATTAACCGGTTAATAATACGGATTTTGTAATCCAAAGAAAACACAATTTCAAGAGAAAAATCAAAAGTGCTTTATTCAAAGTAATGTCCATCACTAGCTACACATTTCCCCCATCTTTCAGATAATTTGTGGATACTGTCCCACTAGAACTTTCCTTGTTTTGAGGCAAACCATTCAGAGACCCAATTTTCCACTTTGTACGTTTTGAAATGCTGCTCAGAAAGTGCATGTGCCATCGATCGGAACAAGTGGTAATCTGAAGGAGCAAGGTCCGGTGAATATGGCTGGTGGGTTAATGCTAATATATATTCTGAAGAACCTATATAAAGCAGATAAATGTTCAGATCTACTGGTTGAACTGGAGATAGAAATGTCAAGCCATTCTGATTGCCTTTCCCCTCAGATCCCTCTTTCTCCCTCTCTATCTTGTCCAGGTGATAAAATCTCAAATTATATGTAACACCAAAAACACAAACAAGGAAATAAAAAATTCTATAAGCTGGCTAAGTTGAAAACTTGGGCATTAAAGAACACTATCAAGAAAGTGAAAAGGCAACTTACAAATGGCAGAAATATATGCAAATCATATATCTGAAAAGGGGCTAGTATTCAGAATATACAGGGTGGCCCCAAAAATGTATACACACTTTGAATGATTACCAAGTCAGTGTTTATTAACATTTAATTTTCAAAATTAAGTAAGTTATCAGCTGTTAAAGGTTATATACATTTTGGGGGGGACACCCTATATAAATAACTGTTACAGCCCACTAACAAAAAGGCAAATAGCCCAGTTTTTAAACGAGCAAAGGGCTTAAGTAGACATTTTTCTAAAGAAGATATACAAATAACCGATGAACACATAAAAAGATACTCATCTTAGTTATTAGGGAAGTGCAAATCAAAAGCACAATGAGAAACCACTTTACACCCAATAGGATGACTAGAACTAAGAAAAACAAAATAGTACGTTGACAAAGATGTGAACAAATTGGAACCCTCACGCATTGTTGGAGGGAATATAAAATGCTGCTATATAAAACGTTTGGCTATTCTTCAAAAAAGTTAAACATAGAAATACCACATGAGTCAGCAATTCCACAACTGGGTATAAACCCAAAAGAACTGACAACAGAGTTCAAACAAAAACCAAAAGTTTGAAATTACCCTAATATCTATCAAATGGTGGATGGATAAACAAAATGTGGTATATCCATACAAAGGAATATTATTCGGCCGTAAAAGGAAGAAAGTACGATATATGTTAGAGCATGGATAACCCTTGAAAACATTATGCATTCCTCTTATATGAACTATATGAATAAGCAAACTCATAGTGACAGAAAGCCAATTAGTGATTGCCAGGGGCTGAGGGAAGAGGGGACTGGGGAATGACTGCCTATGAATATAGGCTTTCTTTTTGGGGTAATGAAAATGTTCTGGAACTAGATAGTGGTGAATGGGCCCAGGCGATCAGTGGAAGTTAATGAACCTGGTCAGGTGTGGGACTTGAGCAAACCGGAGAGAGGGCACCTCTTAAAAGAGTCAGCCACTACACAGACCCCATGGGTAGTTGTCAAGACAGAATTTGGGCCCACTATTGCCAGATTGCCCAATGCTTCCAGAAAAGTAACTGTTTCTCAAACGTTAAGCACATACGAGTCACCTGGTGAGCTTGTTAAACTGCAGATTCTGATTGAGTAGGTCTGTGGTGGAACCTCAAGAATGTGCATTGCTAACAAGCTCCCTGGTGTGCTGTAGCTCCACTAACCACAATGAATAGTAAGGGTCCCGCTCACAGGTTCTCAAACTTGGCAGCACACTGGCAGCATCCGAGGAGTTGAGCCAGCGTGTGCTTAGGCCCTACCCCCAGAGAGATTCCGATATCATTGGTCCGGGATGGGATCTGGGCGTCGGAATTCTGTAAAGTACCCTCCCTACTCTCACCCCTTTACCCCTACATACTTCTAATGGGCACCAAGTTTGAGAGCCAGAACCCCATGTGACCCTTTTAGACTCTATGCAGCTCCAAGAGTCTCTGGGGCTATGCAATATTTCTAAAGAACAAGGTAACAGTTCTTCCCCAAAGTAACCTTTTGAGAATAATCAGCCCCGAGAGCCTCCTCCCCAACAAAGCACAGCTGAGATGCTGTACAAGCCCTGGTTTTGTAACTCTTGACAACCTGCTGGGTCTCCTCTTATAGGTAACTCCCTCTCCTCTGGCTTCCTGGCCTTTGTTAGAAAGTTTCGTGTAACTGGGTCTGAATTGTTAGCTGACGCCTCAACCAAGCAAAAAACGAGGCGCCTTTAGAGAAAGGAAAAAGAGAGCATGCCCCGATCTGTACCTGTCACAGGGTGACAGAGGCTGTGGGGCTTGCCCAGAGGGCAGCAGCATGAGTCATCTCCATGAGGGCACGAAAGGAAAACAGGCAAGGAGAATGGGCCCGTGGATGCATTCTTGCCTCTCCCCATTTACAGTCTCGGGGAAAACCTGTGACTACATCTATCTTCCTGCTTTGTACCTCTCTCATCTCCCAGACCAACTGTGATCCTGGCTGAAAGAGGGGTGCTTAACAAAGCACAGAAAGAATGGAAAGCCCAGACCCAAGCGTGAGGAGCAGCAGGCAGGTAAGAATGGAAGCCAGGAAGGGGAAAGAGAAACTTGGCAGTGTTTCCTGACAGGCCTCCTGTCTAAGAGCATTACTGGGGTTATTCATGCCCAGATGACAGGATGTGAACATATTTGTCTTTATTATCTAGTAAATAGCACATGTGTGTGGCTTTCTTTTTTATTTCCATTTTCACCCTGATTCCCTGGGGCTGTCCCCCTTAATGTGGTCACTTTGAACATAGTTGGCATCAGTTCATAATAGGAGAACATCTGGTGAGAAGGAGCACGCCAAGGGGGAAACTGTCTGGGACAAGGATGCAGAAACACAGAAATTAGTCTGATCCTGTTGACTTAAGCTGTATTGATTTAGTAATCCAGGAAATGCAGTCTCTTTTTGCTGTGATTGACCAGGCAAACACTCCTGCAGAAACTTAGATTTCAATCTCCGTGAACCAAAAGATAAAGGGATTAAGGAAAAAAACACCATATTGGAAATTTGATCAATAAAATGTCTGCGTGTGTGCAAAGGGATTTAGGAAACATCTTAAAGACTCACAAGAACTTTCTCTCCAAAAGCAATAAGGGGTGGGAGGGTCCAAATGATTCAACTAAGGACAGGGCCTAGAAAAAATGACTGTCAGCACTGGAACCCAAAACCCTTTGTCAGTGGATCTCCCACACTCTGCATTCCCCAGGTCCTGAATACAGCCCAGGGGACCTTGTTTCTTACTGCCTCTTCCGAGAAGCCTGCCCTGACTTCCTCCTCTGGCTGCCTATGAACCTCATATGTGCTGGTGCTGTGGCATTTACCACACCTGCTATCCTTACTAGATTCTCGGGTCCTTGAGAGCTGGGACCATCTGATTTATCTCACATCTCCAGGACTCAGCACAATGTCTGGCACAGGGTAGCTGTTCAGTAAATGTCCGTGGAATTAAATAGAATGATAATACTGACCAAGCCTAGTTGGATGTTTCACCAGCACTGAAAATTCAAGGTCCAAAGCTGAACCCTGCAGCCACCTTGGTTCTGCTTATACACCTGCAGTGGTAAAGAATACTCCACTTCAGAACAGCCTATTCCACTGCTGTCTAGCTTTAGCCATTACTTACTGCACTACAATAGTAACAAAAATAATAGCAAACACTTATATTGTGCTCGTGGTTTTGAAAGCATTTTAAATGTATTTATCTAATTTTTAGAACTACTTAATGAGTATTTTCACTCATCTCAGTTTATAGATGAGACAACGAAGGCATGGAGATGTTAAGTAACCTGTTCAAGGCGACAAGAACGAAAACAGTGTCTGAGCTGAGGGAGGTGTTCTTCTCACTGTTGTGGGCTGTTTGGACCACATCTGGAGCCTGTGCCCACTTCTGGACACCACCGAGGGAATTTGAGCCAGGGTGTGGCCAGATTGGAGGGAAGGGCTAGGAACCCTATCATGGGAAGAAAGTGCTGGGAGGAAGGCCAATGCAGAAGGTTCATGATCAAGGTACCACATCTCCAAAGGACTTGTGGGGCGGCGGGCACAGAGGTGGGCTGCAGGCCTTTGTGTTCTCACTGAGTTGGAGATTCACGGCAGTCCCACTGGGCAGGGTTTCTTCTCCCTTCAGATCACCAGGCCCAGGTCTACACTCATGGCCTTCTCTCGTGGCCCCACGTCTCTCCGGAGTTGAAGACAGAAGTGGCAACAGGATGAGAGTCTCACCCAAGGTCCACACTTCTGGGACAGGAACGCACCAAAGACCCTGCAGGGAAGCAAATTCAAGTTGTGATGGGGCCCACGTTTGCAATGAAAACAAGTGAAGCTAGTTGGGCACTGGCCTTTTAAACGTACAGAAATAGTTTCACTTCCACAGATAAATATGTTGAGCCTATTTTCCTTACACCAAATGACTTGGTCTTTTATTTTTCCTTTTTGACAAAGATGTAATAAGAAAAATGTTTTTACTTTTGTTTTTATAATAAAATAAGAAAACACAGCATATGTGCAATGAGAAATGGTGTCACCAGTCATCCTTGTTGCCAGGGCAACAATAGGGAGCTGAGGAGGCAGCTGTGACTGGGCTGAGGCAGGTCCAATGAGGCTAAGCCTTCCATTTTGTTAGAGGAGCAGCTAGAAATCTGGGTTTTTATATGAAACCTTCCACTTTCTAAAGGTTAACACTGACGCTCAAAAAACAACATGCAAGCTTGATTGAAATCCCTCTACAACATCTCTGTTGTGTGATCTTCCTAGCTCTGCTTGCTTATCCCTGGGATGGGAGCTCACACCCACAGAAGCAGTTTCTGTCTATGGACTGCTGTCACTACTAGGAACAGATTTCTCACAATAAGTCGAAACTGATCACTTTATAGTGCACCAGCCCGACCACCCTGACCTGCCCAGCCTCTGCATTAGTCCTAACCCTAGACTACAGCCTCTGGGCCACTTCATTCATTCATTCATTCATGCAATCATTCTCTCACTCATTTGCATGTGCATGTGTGTGCGCGCCTGTACACGCGCGCACACACACACACACACACTCACACACACACACACCAGGGACTAATTGCACAGCATCTGTTGAATTCGGTGAATCATGATGCGAGTTACCCGTGAGCAGAAAATGTGTTTTCTTTGTCCCTGAGTCTCTTGGAACCTCCTTACCACATAAGGCCTAGAACAGAGAAAGTCCCAGAGAATCCCCAGGTGGGAACACTGTGTTCCTCTGACTGGGAACACTGCAGCTTCCCAATTCCTCTTCTGGATAAAGGCTGTCAAGAAAGAAGTTTCTTGCAGACCTTGCACGTGCCTCTCCTGAGCAGCAGCCGGCACAGTGACTAGGAACAGCATTTTCTGGCCCTGTGGCCCCAGGCAAGTCACTGATGTCCCAGCCCAGGCCTCCCCATGTGTTAAATAGGGGCGTTAATGCCTACTTCATGGCATATTTTGAGGTTATCTTTTTAAAAATATATATTTTTATTGATTTCAGAGAGGAAGAGAGGGAGAGAGGTAGAAACATTAATGATGAGAGAGAATCATTGATGGGCTGCCTCCTGCAGGTCCCCTACTGGGGATTGAGCCCACAACCCAGGCATATGCCCCTGACCGGAATTGAACCTGGGACCCTTCAGTCCGCAGGCCAACACTCTACCCACTGAGCCAAACTGGCTAGGGCTTGAGGTTATCTATAAGTCGTTTTAAGAGGGAAGTGCTACATTGACTCGAGGAAGTGGGAAGAATTTGGAGTCCCACTGGGCTACAACTTTGGGCAGACAATTGAATCTCTATGAGCCTCAATTTCCTCTTCTACAAAATTGCCTACTCTACCGGCCTGTTCTTTGCATTCGAAATTAGAAATAATGATGCATGTTGAATATCCTGCACTGGAGGTTCAGGGAAGGGGTAACTGTTGTTGCCGTTACTGATAACCAGTAGAGGGCACCAAACTATTCTATAATGAAATGGAAATGAAATGAAATGAAATCGTCTTGGTAGCCTAGCCACAAAGGCAAGGAAGGGAGATCCACCAAGTAGGTAGCTTTACACACACACACACACACACACACACACACACACACGCTCCTTTTTTATTGGAAAGTTAGAAATTACGCTTTATATCATGCTATTAAGGGAGGGGTGGGGTGTGTGTGGATCACTTATTAACACAAGTACCTTTGGATTCCAAAGAAGGCTCTCCTAGCAGGGGTTCTTGTCCTTGCCCCAGTCCTTGTGTGGTGTGACCTTGGACAAGTCCCTGCCTGTGTCTGGACCCTTTTTGAAGCCCAGGAGGGTTGGACCAGGTGCTAAGGGATCCTCTAGTGCCCATGACTAAGATTTGGGGACAAATACATTTCAGGAAACATGCAGGTGGTGGGGTCGAGTGGACAAAACGTCCTCTGGATGCCCTTGCTGGGCTGGGCCTTGATGATTTATCCACAGGCCAGGGGAGCCACATTTGCCTGGCCCTGGCCTCACAAAGGAGTGCGGTTAGAGCTGTTGGGTGGTGGCAGTGTGGTTCTGCAAGTGCACATGATGCTTATCATCTTTTGTGCAGGTTGATGGCGAAGCCACGGAGACCACCCAGCCTGACAAAGAAAGGAATTCTTGTCTGCAGTTGACAGCCCTCAGGTTGACGGCTTTCCATTTGCCTGGGAGGCTGTCACTGGCAGAACAATGGCAACGAGCAGGGTGGCTCTCACCTGAGACGGGCGCTGCCGCCAGGAGGGGGAGGAGAGGCCAGGCCTGGGGTGGGGGTGGCTGTTGTCTCTCCTCCCAGGATATGCAGGCTGTACGACCTCCCCAGCCTGCATCAGGCGTGGAGAGGCTGTGGAGGATTATTTTGTGCGTAGATGATTGCGTCTCGATCGGAAAGCAGCAAGTATTTACTCTTCATTAAGAAAAATTATAATGAATTACTGATATACACAAAACATAAATCAATCTCAAACGCATTATGTGGAGTGAAAGAAGCCAGGCACAAAAAGAGTACATAGGGCATAACTCCATTTCTATGAACTTCTAGAGCAGACAAAACTAAGCTGCCGTGATAGGATCTCGAGCAATGCTGCCTCCTGGGAGAGGGAAGGCCGCCTGCGCAGGGCATGGAGGGACTTTCTCTAGGGGATGGAAGTTTTCTACGTCTTGATTGATTCCTACCACTGGTGATGACAGGAGTGCATCGTAAGTCCCTTTGCAAAACTCTGTACTCTACACTTAAAAATCCGTGCATTTTACTGTTTGCACATTATACTTCAATAGCAGTGATAAAAACGGAATTGCAAAAAAAGTGTCATGACTTTTCTCAAAATAAATACACGTTCACACTACAAGACAAAAAATACAGGCACGTTTTTAAAATAAAATTTTAAAAAGAAATAAAAATCATTTTAATCCCCTTACCCAGAGGTAAGCACGATTATCATTTTGATATCGATTGTGCCAGGTCTTTATTTTCACAAAAATGAAATCAGATAGGTTTGTAATCTGCATTATCATTAATTTATTTATGCATTGAATTGGCAAGATAAATACACAGTTAAAACTTCAAAAGGTACAAAAGGGCATAAGTTAAAAAAGAAATCGCTCTTCTAGTTCCTCTCTCCAGAGCACTTACACCCATCATTTATTTGTATATTCTCCTAAAGATACATTATGTTATGCATTTACAGTCATACATGCATGGTGAACCTCAAGGAGAAAAAACATGGTAGCTTACTGTTCACACAATTTGCACCTGTATCAACCTGTATTTTTAATATAATGTGACAACATGAATTTCTTTTCATGTCATTAAAATTCTTCTACCATGTCAGTTTAAGTACACTTTTGACTAAAGCAGAAGATAAAAACAGAAATATGCAAAAAAATTATAAGTCTAAACCTCAAAGTGTTTTCATAAATTGAATCTACTTTTATATTCAGTACCAATATAAAATAATAGGTCATTTACCAGCATCCCCAAAAAAACCTTCTGATCCTCTCCTAAAACGTACCCACTCCCTCAAAAGTACCCACTATCCTGACTTCTAATTTTTAATGAGTCTAGCCTGGGTTTTGAACCTTTGGATTATACAGGATTTATTCTTATGTCTATATTCTTTCACTCAGTAGAATATGAATGGGATTTATTCATGTTTTAGCATATAGCAACAGTTCATACACACTTGCTACCATGTAGTATTCCTTTGTCTGAACATACCACAATTGATTTATCCATTCTACTGTTGGTGGACATGGGGGTTGCGTCCAGGTTTTGGCTCTCACAGCTGCTATGAACATCCTTTAGGTGTCTTTTGGTAAATATATGTATACATTTCTGCTGTACATATGCTCAGGAATGCAACTGCTACATCATGGGGTCTGCATATGTTCAGCATTAGAACAAATAGTCTCCAAAATGGTTACACCCATTTCCACTCTCTCCTGCTGTACGAGAGTTCCCATTGCTTTACCTCCTCACCTACACAGTCCATTTTCATGGCTGCGTAGAATCTCATTATACGGATATGCCATATTTATTTACCTGTTTCCCCTAGTTCAGGGATTCCGGACTCTTTTTGTGCCCTAGACACACTGGCGCTCTCAAAAAGCTTAAGGACCCTTCTCACAATACGACCTAGTAAAGCATAAACTTCAGTATTAACACGCTGGGAACATCTAGCAACAGGTCTAATGATCGTGGTAACGTCAAAATTCCAAAATGAGCATAAGCAGAAAAATGTTTATTGACCTTTTGTGCTGCTTTTCCTATGAAATGCATATCTTAGCTTTTGCCAATTTTTAAAATAACCTATTTATTTTCAAATTTTATATAAGAACTCTTTGTGTATTATAGATATGAATCATCTGTGAAATGTTACAATTTTTTTCATTTGTCATTAACTTTGCCATTTTATTTCTTAATAACAGCTCTATGTTTTTTTTAAATAATAGCTTTATTGAGAAATAATTCACATACCATAAAATTCACCCTTTTAAAGTATACATTTTAGTGGATTTTAGTATACTCACGGAGTTATGAAACCCTCACCACCATCTAATTTCAGGAAATGTTTATCACCCCAGAAAGAAACCTCAAACTCATTAGTAGTCACTCTTCATTTCCCCAGACCCCAACTCCTGATACCACTAACCTATTTGTACTTCTATTCAGGATAGACTAATAAGATTAGCCCATTCTGCCTATACATGAACATACATACCAGTATATATACATTTTAGTGGATTTTAGTATACTCATGGAGTTATGAAACCCTCACC